CAACTGCTATTTTCTTAAACAGCATTAAGCATTTGATGTTTGTAACGGCAAAGTGTGTTTTCTTAGCGGTACGTCCTGAATTCTTAAATATTGTTTATATGACCTTCGGCTTCAAACGATTAAATTGTTATATTCACATCCTATTTAGTGCTGTCGAGAAATATTTTTATTACTTCGAATTTTTAAGAAAGTCTAGTTTTATTTGGTCGCTTTGTGATATTTTGAGTACCCAATCTGAAGCCCCATTTACTTGAAGAATGGCCTGGAGGTGTCTGTTAGGACGGTTTAATAGAAATAACAGTTTTTAATTTGAAAAAAAATGTCAGGAGTCCAGAATTTGGAGATGACTGGATTTAACTCACTTCAAAAATTCTGTTTCAGCTGTTTAGAAGTCAGACATCGATAAGACATGAGCCTCGTAGCATGTTTAAAGGCCAGAAATGAACTAATTATGAAGGAAGGCCTCCAGGTATAAAAGGTTGCCGTCTAGAAATGCCAAGTAGTTTTAAATGAACACACACACACATTCTTTTGTACAGTAGCTCTCAGTATTAGCAACTAAGATATTCAACCGTTTTAAAAGAAAGTGTGGGGTTCTCAAAGAGTGCTGTATTTTGCTTTTCACTTAGCACAGATCAATCGGTACACACTCGTACAAAAATAAAAAAGAAGAACTTAGTTCTTTTCTAGGTTTTTTTGGGTTACGATTTATGGTTGTTCCAATTTATAGTAAATCCCGAAATTATAAATCTCTTTGGACATTTGGTAAACCTCCTTGGACGGAGGATGAGCCCGTCATAGTACCTCTACCTCCAGCCAGCCCTCGTTTTATGAAGATTCGCATTACTAAATTTCCCTCATTCGAACTTTCGTAATGAAGCTAATTCCTCATCCGAAATCTTCCGGGGAGGGGGGGACAAGAAACTTGCTGGCGATGAGTCATTTCACTCCTGTTCTTCTTTGGTGTGTGAGGACTGTCTGCATAGAAGACAGCGCAAAGCAGGAAAACTCAGACTAGCATCCGTGTCTTGAATGGGATTCAAACCCGCGATCCTCGTGTTTCAACAGTTGAAACCCACGTCATAAGCAAACAGCACGGCAATTGCGATCGGAAATTGTTGTGTACTGCAGGTCAATAACCGCGGCAGGACACATAACAGCTGAGGTCAGCGGTCAGTAATATGTATCACTCGTCAGGTACTTGTTCTGTTACGTAGGATTGTAGCAAGAACGGTTACACGGCACGTTTGCAGTATCCGTACGCAGTCTGATGGATGTTTACCAGAATGGCACGATATTTTTGCCGCGTTAAAGTACTGGCACCTGACTTTTGTCTGTGACGTGATAACAGTAAGATGCGCAGAGAATTCCGACTGACTGGAATAGCTTTCATTGGGCCTAATATATATATATGTTGTAAGGGGTTTCTACATAAAATTTAACATCTTCCAAATGATTCAAAAGTTTAAGTAAAATCTTGTTGGGCTAACAGCGGCTTTAAGATGGTATTCGCCCGTATTTCTTAGGTCACTTTACAGTTTCTGAATTATGCAGTATGTTAAATATAAAACCATTGTTCCCTGCATATTTATCTCTTCTAGTAATTTTGTATCTGAAATGTCATAATTGTATAAAAGCGGAAGAAAACGTAAGATCGGCCATTGTGGTACAACTGGTTCTTGGATTCAACGGGAAAGCTATTCTTGGCCCTAGGAAGGAAAAAGTTGTACCACCCTGGCTAGACATTGGCTTCTTTTGTGGTTTAGCTTGTTAAATACTTGTCGCTTTGTGTTAGCGATTACCTTTCATTTTTGTGTCATCCATCGATGTCAAGTAGATACATAGCCGCAATCATTCAAGTATAAAGTGGTCAATGAAATAGGATGTTAACTGGATTTGTCTGGCTCAGGGCACAGCCTAGTGACTGACTGCCTTTTTTGATTTCATAAATGTTTGGAGGAACTTCATGTCTAGCTGAGCCGAGCTTATCATGAAGGTCTCCGTTCCTTGTGGCCAGTTCTTGCAGAATTGCTGCGTGTTCATAAGATACAATTCTCTACGAAAGCATTTTGATTCGTCAGGTCATATTGCTTTTAAGAACAGGACATTTTTGTTTTGTTAAATGAAACTGATGATATCAGCTGCTGCTCATATTATCTGATGGCGTCACAGAGATAATGTTACCTTGTACCATGCAAATCATAGCAGTTTCTTCATAGGTCACGTAGTATTTGCTCCTTGCCTGGGCATATTTCCCAGTCCTTTCTGATGTGAAGTGGAATACCCTATCGTGACGCCCATTTGAGGGTCATGAGAATCTTCGAACCCACTTTACACCCTGTTACCTAGTTTCGTTGTGACATGTAGCACAGGTTAATTGTAGCTCTATTCATTTCGTTTAGATAGTCGGTGATACAGACAGCGTCTCCAGAATGACAGGTGTCCAGGTTTGCCCACTGAAACCACACATTTTTCTGCATTTTATTTATTTTTTCTTTCATTTTGCATGTTACATATTCAGTTCTGTGGAACACAAAACTGCCAATGTATTTGTATCATGGTGTTTTCCCTGCCATCCCAAGAACTTCAACCATCAGTACCAAGGTAAAGGTTCCTGATACGTAACTAAACATCACGCCTTGTAAACACACGGGAAATGGTTGTATAGCTCCACGCATTCGTAACTTCGGCATTAGATTGAATTTAATGGTTGACTTCATGCCTTGAGAACGTCACCTGCAATGTACCCATTGGCTAGGAGGGTAGGTGGGCCCTAGAGCTGGTATGTGGAAATTATGGCAAACAGAACAGTCCTGTTTTACCGGGAATCGAACTTCCGTCGTCCAGCCCAAGGACTAGTAAATTGCCATTTAGTATTGCTGTTTCTCTGGACTTGGTCCATCATTCAGTATTCTAAAATCGAAGCCAGTACGTTTAGGGAACTAGCCGTACTCCCATCTCTTCAGGTGAAAATTCCTGTTTTGTTCGGTCCGATTCAAGGGGGTAATTACAGTCCATATCCAGGGGTGCATCACAGCCATAGAAACAGCAATGATTGTAACTCACCATAGTTGGAACCCTTTAGATTTAGTGAAGTAAAATGTCACTTTGATGATGGTGAATGACACATTTTAGTCAGGAAATGTGAACGGATAGGACCACGTAGTAAACCTGGGCGTAAATTGTAAAATACAATCGTAAAGAAACATTGTATGGACTGGATTTTTTTATTTGACTAAAGAGAGCCCAGTGGAAGGCCACTTTGATAGTGTAATGAACGTTTGGGACCAGTAAAAGGTGAGAGGAATTTCTAGACGCTCGTCTTCTCAGGAAGGAACGTGTTACATTTGGGCCTAGACGTTGTTATGTCGGACACTGACGTATTTTTTGAAACTGTTTGAATAACGTTGTTGAACAATGTGGTATTGATTGTTTAGCGTACCTACACACTACGACAGAGGCCCACACTGCGTACGATATTGATTGAACCTTTCGTTGCATGTCGTGATTGTCACTGCATTTATGTTCACGCATGTAGAAACGCCAATGTTGCAGGCTACATTTTACACTAGCGGCGTGGGATATTGATTATGGCAATTTTGTATTTAATAAACTGACTGAAGCACTTGTTTTAGGGAATAAAAGTCACCTAGAACATGGCTGTATTCTGGGACGTTGCGCCGTGTAGTCTAATAGAAATTGACAGGCGTTTCGGAGGCGCTGTCGTGAGGGCGATGAGGGTTATCAGGGTCATGAGGCAGTTTGCATCTCTGAACGTCGGTCAGTTTCTACTAGACAATACGGCGCAACGTTCCAGAAGATAGACATCTTCATTCTCTTCTACGTGAGAACCTGAAATTTCACAAAAAATCATCAAGTTTTTCCGGTTTAGACCTAGAATTAATCTCGGTGTAAACCTTTTCATGTCACCATTTCCTATTAAATCTTTGGCTTTTAAGGATTACGCCCTTTGACGTGTTCCAATTAGGATTTGACGCTGAACCTGTGAGCCATATAATGATTGGTAGGACTCCTTGGACTGGAAGTCTGCCCATGGCGATGGCTGTACAAAGGGCAACACGACTAGAGTAATGAGGCTGACGTAGGCTGTATCCGTGTCACGAGCGCGAATCGAACTTTCGACCCCATTGGCCGAGCGATTTCAAGATTACGCACGTCAAACCCCGGGGACACTGTAATTGGCCATTTAAGGTACACCTTTTGTTTTCTCATTTTCTTTCCGAAAACCGAAGACTAAAACACATGAAAAATGATTTGCCTATCTTTTACTGTGTTGTCTCTTCCTCGTTCGAAGGCTGGGGCTATCATATTTTTCCAGACCGTGGACCACATTCAGCTTTGCTTTACGATTCAGTGGCCTCGAGGTTATAAATTAGGAAAATTGGTTGGAATTTCTTTTGCAGTTTACTAAACATCCTGCTAACTCAGTATTACAAACAATTTGACATATTACTGAATAATTTTGTTAAACAAATATCATTCATTAGTGTGATATTTGACTCTAATTTTGCGTGACAGTTTTCAATGTATGGTTTAATTTCTGTATTTCTTTGTTACGAATCGTATCCATCCCTCAAAGTGTTTATCAGTTATACATGTCTTAGTTTGATTTCTCTTTTTAATAAACTGCACGGTTGCCTACAGCGAAAGTTACTATCATTTTCTGACTACATTAAAAAACGTATTTCCTGATATCAGGTGATCATTTTTTATTTTCTGAGTGACGCAGTTTTAGAATAATTGTGTGGAGCTACACAAAATATATAAGAGGGCCACGTGTTGAGAACCGGTCTTCTCAGGGAAGAAGATGGATTAGAAACGTCGAGAACAAATGCTGAAATTGTGTCTTATGTAGAGAGATGAATGCGTGGGAACAGTTAATATTGCCAGAATAAAAACATTCTTCTGTGTGACTTATGCATGTATGTCTACAGCCCTGTATTATTGAGACGATCGTATTAAAGAAGACCGAGATGGGACAGCCTTGTAGCACGCACAGGGAGACATGTTATACACACCTACACAACTTCAGTTTGATAACTTAGTGGTAACAGATCATTTCGAATGAAATTTTGGTAAGTGTTAATTATGACTGAATTTGTTTAATACGTGGTGCGGTTATAGGATTTTATGATGTCGGTGATAAACCTTGTGGTTCATGAAGAAGTGAGTGTCTTGTGTAGGTAAATAGTGATTTACTCCTAGAAGAAACGGTACGTAGGCCTGTAGATAAACTACCAGCTGGGGTTACTGATTGTGCTATTTAAAAAATGGAATTCTGCTCGACAAACGCGTTCGGGTAGCAGTCGCTTGTTATGAGGTAGATGGGAACTAACACGGAATTTGCCTGGAGATATGCGAAGAGCCGTGAAACCCTTCTCAGTGCCATCTGGTCTGCACACGCAATTCCAACCGCGTTCCTCTGGAATCCGAGTTTGGATACGTTGCCGCTTTGTTTACCGGCATAACATGGGAAGAGGCCCAGGCTCTAACATGTAAAATGATTGGAATCGTAATGTTTGCTTCATTATTTAAAAACACTGTATAAAGATGTACTCTATTTTGAGTTGTCCTGTCGACATGCAGTTATTTTCCAAATGCGTTCTCTGCGGTTTTGCATACGTCATCGGCCATGACGTCAGTTTATTGCGGATGTGAAGATGACTCTGTCCTGGGCCGGTGCGCCTTGTAGTCTGTTAGAAGTTTACCGACGTTTCAGAGATGGTTACTGCCTTTAGGCAGTCTTGAGATCGTGAAATCTCACCTGTTGCAGAAATGTATGCGAGTAGTATATATATGCTGTAAATGAAAATCCGCTCTTGGGGAGCCAATCACTCTCCAGTTGTATATTATGCATTCGTAAATTAGTATTATTTAATATTTTGTTAAATGAATTCCACTTTTGAAACTATTTGAAATGGTAGTTGTAGATTTATTTCATTATCATTTATTTACACGGTGAGCAGTGTTTTCTTATAAATGTTCCATTTGTACTTGGTGTAAAGTAGGTTGGTACTGGTCAGAATAAGTTAACCATTACCAAATTTCATCAAAATCCATTACAGTTTTGTGATTAGTGTATTCTGTTTTTGAAAGAACACACGCACACGGTAAAACTGGTAAGAGGAAACTGGAAGACAAATTGCGTTTATAAAATGTGAATCTGCGACGGAAATGTTGATCGAAAGCACAAAAACGTTGATTTGGGCTTCGGATTCGCAAAATACGTCTGTTCCAGCATCACAGTTAGCTGGTTGCGGTCTGCCACTTTCCCTTGGAAACGGAACGTCACACATCGCGTGATCCCGTTTTAGGATCCACTTCCTTTAACGGCAGAGTATGCTAACGCAGCGTGTGGCCTGTCAAAATAACAAATTTGTACAGCAGTTTGAAAAAAAACCTTGTATGAAACGTCATAGTTCCATTTTCTTTGTCTTCCCTTAGGCCCAAACATTATAACATTTTTACTATTGTGTGCTTGCATCGGTGTCTGGGTTTCCAGAGACAAGCTGTCCTTTTGTACGTAACTTGGCGCTGTTGGCGAAACACAATATGTGCGTGCATAAAGGCATAAGAAAGTTTGTTGTCAAGTTGAAAGAAGCGGACATGTTGTTCTTGAATTGATCAAAAAGATTTAATAAAGATCGTCTGCGTTTAGTCTTGTACGAAGCAAAGTTAACAGGAATGGAAAGGTGCACTAACTAAATGGAGCTGACTATACAAGTTCCCATGTGCGTTCTTGTCTGTTTTCGTACCTTACTGGCTTTGTGTTCGTTAGTTAGTAATTACAGATAGGATCGATTTTCTCAAAGCTGATCGCACTCCGCTTGAAGCACGGAAATTATTTTTCATCGCATTGCTTCAAATTGGGGGGAAAAAAAGTACAGTGGATTCCGGTTAATTGGGACACATCGGGACTAGAACATTTTGGCCCAATTAAGCGGCTGCCCTGATTAACCGATGGTCCAACTAACCGGAATCTATTGTATATACATTTCAAATAAAACTTGGTTTTGTAAGATTTGAGGTTTTCATGGTGGTGAGTCTGAAGATTGCCGTCTTCGGGGTTGTTGCGCCGCGTAGTCTGGTAGATGTTTACCGACGTTTCAGGGGTCCATGCTGCCTGCATGGACCTCTGAAACGATGTTGGACTTCTACCAGACTACACGGCGCAACAACCCAGAAGACGGCAATCTTAAAACTTGGTTGATATTTGTGCCATGTGCAGTATGTTTGGACGTAGAAATTTTATAAAATTAAATAAGCCGTTATTATTGACTTGTGCGACACATTGATTTGATTTTCAGCACCCACTACTCCTGTGCCTTTTAAACAATTTTATTATCAGACTTAAACGATGTATGTGGAAGCCATCTGTAAAACTAACTTCTGAGAGTATGGACGTGCTATTTGGACGTTAATGTACAGTGTCTCCTCTCATCGTCATAATTCTTACATATTACTATATATCCTTCTGTTGACCGTCTTTGCAGCCTTCAAATTTGATTGCGGAGAAACAGGAATATGACGTAGCCTTAGAAGAAAGCCACAGCACAATTACTGTGTTGTCTGTATAATAATCTGTCGTTGTCTATCTTTGTCTACTAGAAAACAAGTTAAGAAGTGAGCCGAGAGTTCACAGAATCCGTTGTGACGCACAAGCCAACTTCCCTACATGGCCATCTTGTACAGCTTGCTTGTCAGCGATGTTGCCACATCAAGTAGGCTGTTGGATTTCTTGACGCTGTTGAAAACCCTCATTTGCCTTGCTTATCGTAAGCATGTACGAACCGTGGAATCGCCAAGGACCTCCAGCTAGCGTTTTGTATCATGACGGAATGCCACGCCATCCTAGTAGCCACCTACAGGTGCCGCATTTCCTTTGTCGCAGACTTTCACGATTTTCGTGGGACTTCCTTCACGTGTGATGAAGTTGATTGTGTCCATCTACAGAGACGTGATCGGCTGTTGTGAACTCGGTAATGAACCTTCTGGTTCTGTAAAAGACGGGCAATTTCTTGACTAGCTGAGCGTAATTAGTTTCTCAAGTAAGAATTTGCTACATGGAGTTAGTTTACTTTTGTCCAAGCTTTAAAATTATGACGAGTACAGTCTGCACAGCGCAACACGACACACAGGGCAAATCATTGCCAGTAATACACATCACAGGAATAACAGTTTACATATTAACGTAAGAAGGAATATCCCATTTATTGAATAACTCAAAACAGATACCTTTCGTGTGTGCAGCAACCAGAAGAAATACATTACGGACGATAAAACATCCAGATTTCAAAACGAAAGTGTACATAAAATACACTTATTTTATTTCAAAGTAGCATGAAAACACATTTGTAGTTAAATTAATTTGTTACAAATATGAAGTTTTAATGGAGTGAATATGTTAGTAACATATTTATAATTTTATATTTTCTAATACTCTGTAATTTGAACGAAAGTAGTTACAGAAATTTTATTATAGAGTCGCAGTGAACCTACAGACGTAGCTAACGTTGACCTGTACGTGATTTGTAATAGGTTCATTTTGGAAATCGCTTCTTTTCGAAGGATATATCTTTCTTCGTCTTCAGGCAAAAACTATTCTCTTGGACTCAGTAGACCGAGCTAATCATGATCTGTGGCGTAGAAAGCAGTACCATCGCCAAAACATTCAGAGAACGGTCGTGATCTGTTTACGGCAGTAGCGTGCATAGACAACTGTGATTTCGCAGGGGAAATGGCGAAATCAATGGGAATTATGGTCACACGAAACCGGTAATCCGGTTAAGATTCGAATGACGTACTTCCCACATGTAGCTCGTATTCCGTGTGTATGTACGTAGGTTTATATGTATCAGTAATCGTTTTGTATACGTAATTCAGGTGGCTAGACGATAGATTTACGCCGCGGAGACCCTAGTTCAGTTCCGGGTGACTTCATATGAGTTTCGTGGCGGACCAATGGCCCTGGATCAGATTTTTCGCTTTCCCCATCCTGATCATTATTCCACCATTGTTTCTTGTTCGTGTATCATCGCCCCACGAGGTGTGCGATAGCCAGGAATGCTAACCACTCTGTTGCCACATGCGGTGAAGTTTTGTAGTACCTAATTTAAGCTCAGAACATGAGATTTGATCAGCCATTGTACATAAAATTTTATATATCCTTGAATACATAATTTACAAACTTACTCTATTGTCTGTTTTATTTGGCGCATATTCTGAATTCTTTAGGCGGTTTGCAGGTAGGCGTGCTGGGTCTTTTAAGACAATGAAAAGTTTATTTTGAATATGAAACAGCGCCTGAGTTCTGTAAAGTTTCTTCCTGATTATTGTGTAGGCTAAATTAATTATATTTTCTGTCTCATTTGTCTAGAGAATGTAATATAAATCAGAATAAAGGTAGTCTACTCCCTTTGCCAAGACCTAACGCCCAAATCACGTCAGTCCAGTCATGAAGGTAAACCTTCACTCGATTTCACGGATATTATTAACTTTGCGGTAATGCGCCTTACTTTATTTACTCAAGTGTCCAGTTGGGATTTCGGAAATTATGCGAAAATTCTGACATGCTCTTTGTGTCTCTCCTCAGACTATACTGTTAGTTCTTCTCTGTGCTTTACAGTCATCTCGTTTAATTCGACACTAAAAGTAAGCATCTTTAGCGTCTGGCGTATTCGGCGTTTTGTACTAGTACGTTTACCTGCAAGAAACTACGTCATTAATGGCGGGGAATTTGTATGTCGCGTTCCTGAACAATTAAACGAAAACGAGTTGAAATTCGGTTCTTAAATTCGATTGAGAAATGTTGAGATGAAATAGGAAGAATGGCTGAGAAGTCACTGTCGAAATACTGTCTTTAATGCCTGAGGAAAAGTGGATAGTCTTAGCTTATCCGTTTGGTAACCGGAAGTTCAGACTACATGCTGGGTCATTTCTGCTGTAAACCGAGTCTGAAATTGGACCAGTACCTAGAAGAAGATGAAGAAGAAATACATCTTACTGTGTACTGCCCAGAATGTCTGTTATCACTTCGTAGTTTCCTGAGAAAATCCTAAATTCAGAAGGTGGGGAG